GTGTTTCGTTTTTTTTTTCATTTGGTGACTTTTCAACACATTCTCATTTGAATTCTTTTGAGTTAAAAAAAAGGGAGAAGGAGGAAGAAGAAGACGTGGTGATATATGGAGGAAGAATCTTCGGAAACGGGCCTGAAAAAAAAACGTGCACGGGCAAAATGAGGTGCCATCATCCAGTGGCATCCAGCCGAGCAGAGCGTTCTAAATTAAATTTCGTGGGTGCGCGCATCAACTCGAGAAGAGCTGGCTCACCTCTCTTGTGAGCTCTCCCTGCCGTGTGTGTGCTCCGAAGGACATCACAGCCACTTGTTCTTGACACATTTTCTCACGCTTCCTAACCGTATGCCTCCGGGCGATTCAAAAATCTACCGTCTTATATTTGTTCTCATTCAGTTCTTCAAACACTGACATTCACGTTTTCATCTTTACTTTATTTTTCTAGACAAAGAGATGAAAGAAAAAAGTGAAAAGTTCAAGATGTCTATCATCTTTCTACCGAAGGATCCCAGATATTCAATACCTGTCAATCAGCTGAAGGTTTTTAGTTTCTTAAAGGTCAAAATTTGGTTGAAATACGGCTGCAATAACAGATTTTTGAAGTTTCTGAAAGTCGTTCTGCAAATTCAAGCACTGTATTTCTCTAGTTCCATATTTTTCTAAACCTACCATAAAACCTGTGATAGGATTTGTAATTCTCTTTGATTATGAATTGTCTATCTGTAAGTCTATATCTGCTATTTTGAGAACTTGAGTAAATTTATTTTTGGACGTTGCGATAAAAAGAAATTTCGAAAACTTTATTAGATCTCCCCCTATCCCTGAGTCTGCTCTTTTGACCTTATAAGGTCCTTCTCCATTCTCCTACTCCTTGTACTTGATTTTGGTATCATTTTCTTCCAAAAAAGAAACTCGTGTCCTATATTTTTATATTTTTTGCTGACCACACCAGTTGAAACACTTCGTCCGTGTGCCGTAAGCCCTTTTCGTAATCTCTTTGATGGGAAGAGCCCCCAAACTTTTCGTTTTGCTCTCTCGTCTTTCATTCTGTTCAATCTTTCCTCTTTTTCTTCGCCCAAAAAAATATAAATCCGACAAAAAGAAGTCAAAAAATGAATATATAATATTCCTCTCAATGTTGCACAGACGTCCTAATTGCCCTTCAAATCTCATAAACATGCCTCTCGGGGAAACATTTCTTTCGATGTTTGACCATTTCGGATTGCGTGGCTTATACAACACTTTTTGTACTTGATTCAAACTCATCTTAAAGTCGAAAAAAGGTTGTCGGACATCTGGAAAATCCTGATTGGCAGTTTTATCGAATTAGGAACACACTGGAAACTCACACTTTTACTCTGACAGTGATCAAGTAGGAAACTCGTGAAGAGAGCCAATGACACTGAAGGATTAAGGCGAAACCTTTGAAAAATTGCCAGGGTCAGACGAAGATATAGTCTGGCTTAGAGCTGGAAATTATGTTTGTATTACAAACTGCATTATTTTAGATAAATACGATTTTTAGATTTGAAAATATATGTACAGTACCGCCCAAAAGTATATCAACTTTTGGTTTTTCGACTGTAACTTTCTTCAAAATAGAGGTGAAGAGTCAAACTTTTCTGTAAAATGTAGCAAATAACCCGAGAAAAATAATGCAAAAACATTTCAAACTCGAAAACAGAGAAAAAAAATAGGTTCTAACAAAACTGTAGTATTGATATCTATAAGGAAAAACACGGATTTCTCTCAACCGATCTCACCAGAATGACTTAAGGTTAACATTATGCTTGTTTTAGCTTGCCTCACAATTCTAAAAACCAGTGCTCGGAGCTGAAAGAGGCACTTTTTCGAGTGAAAATTGATGATATATTATAGAATAAGACTTGAAAAACGATAAAAACATAAAACGTACCAAATATTGACCACTTTAATTTGTGGAACGATAGTAGAAACTGTCCAGAAGCCGGAAATCTCTAGTTGACACTTCGAACGACCATATCATATAAAGAATTGTGTTTTTATGAGCTATTATCTGCTCAAAAGTTTGCAAATGTCTCTTAAATTATGTTGAGATTTTATATTCTATACACATAATCGCTTTCTATTTTTTTCAGAATTTTGAAAAAAAATCGTCCAAAAATCAAAATTTTTCCAAAAAGCGAATTTTGTTGCTAAAATTTTTTTCTCTGTTTTCGTGTTTGAAATGTTTTTGCATTATTTTTCTCGGGTCATATGCTACATTTTACAGAAAAGTTTGACTCTTCACCTCTATTTTGAAGAAAGTTACTGTCGAAAAACCAAAAGTTGATATACTTTTGAGCGGTACTGTATTCTAACTCGTCATTACTTAATGCTAACCTAAAATTTTTCGATTTCTTTTTGGAATGAGTGCAGTCAACCAGAATATTCCTAACATCTAAAATTATAATTTTTCAGCTTCTACGTGTATACTTCTCATTTATTTTTCTTATTTAACATCATTTCAGCAACCTGATAATCAACCTGATAAACAACAAACAAAAAATAACTTTAGAAACATTTTCTTTTCCAATCTCTCATTTTTCTTCCCTTCCCGAAATTCGGTTAGCATTCAAAATTGAAAATTTCCTGAGGCATCCAGTTCTTTGACCTATTCCGGTTCTCTCACACGCTGCCTTCAGGGGTTCTGTTCATTTGGCTCTATTAAAAAACAAAGCTTTGAAAAAAGGAAGAACCGCTCAAAATATGGATGTTTCCTTGACAGCTTTTTCTTCCATCTTTCTTCCCGTTTTTATTTTATTCCACTATTCTAAAAACGGGATGAAATGATGATGCACTTCCAAAAAGTTGCCCTATATTTTGTTATAATAATAATACTTTTTCGGAGAATCGAAATCGAAAAATAAAATGGTCCCCCTTTTCCTTCATATGTTAGTCTATTTTCTAGTCGGTCGCTTCCCTATCCCCTGAATCCAATTTCTTCATGTGCATATCATCTCCGCTGCGTGTCCAACCCAGTAGTCCTCTCCTCCTCCTTTTCGCACTTTCAGGTCTTTTTTTTGTGTTTTTCTTTTCTCTTCTGCAACTCCATGTTTTTTTTGCTGCCAGTGAACCCGGGGACCGACGACGTCAAAATCGAATCACAGTCGTCGTGTTTCACATGTCGTCTACAACCATCTATGGTCCCGATCTCCGTCTGGGTTTTCCTCAGATTCTCTCCAGAATTCTCACCGTGCTCCCCTTTCTTTTTGGGCCTCGTTCGGTAGAAATCTTTGCCTCGGGGACCTAAAACAAACAAGTACGTTTTTCTTTGTCGTTTCACTCAAAACGCCTCCTGAAACATATCCATTCTCCAGTCTCATTTCTTTCCTGATGCAAGAGATTGCCATCAGGAAAAAACACAACAAATCCCCGTTTTTTTGAATTTATTTCTTCTTCGGATCAGGATATTTGACTTGGAAATTAATGCCATAATGAAAAAAAACTAACAATTCCAATGTTGTAAACCCTCTTTTTTCATTAAATCTTCAAAGGCTGTGGGATTTACAGCCGATGGATGATCGATTTGACCTGCACCCTTTTTACTGAATCTTGATAATATCAGAAAGTCTAATGTAGAAAAAACGATATTCTGACTTCACCGGTTTCTGTTTCTGAGATTCTGAGTAAGAAGACATTTTGTCGCACAAGCTAAATTCTAAGAATTTGAGGAAAAATGAATTCCGATTTTATGTTCTTCTAAATAAATAACAAAAAACAAAAAATCAGATTGATTGCGAGTTTCGAAAAATTTCAGAATATCATTCAACCAGATTTCAAAAAAGAAGTATAATTTTCATTGAAGAATCTCCAATATTCGAAAATCAATTCTATAAATCTGGAAAATCTTCATTCCAATTTTTGTATCAAAAATTCAGAAATTTTGGTTTTCTCGAAATCCAGCATAATTTTTCTGAATCTTTATGCACAATTTTGTGATATTAACGAATCTGAATTTTCTGGAAAAATCAGCTTTTGCGTTTTTTTGAGCTGGCTAGGTTTAATTCCATATGAAACTTGACATTCATCGTAAAACCTGTAATCGAAGGGCCCTGACCTTGTCAAGGTTGAGAAAATTTTTTTTGGCTCTTATGCAAGATATTATAAAAGTGTCAACTAATGAAATTTTTTGAGATTATGATAAATATTTTCTCAACTTTCAACTTTTTTAATCTGATTGTACGCGAAACCGATGAAAATTGGCTCAAAGTTGAAAGTTACTACTTCTACCCTTAACTTTTCACATCTTTTGACCATGTTTTCGATTGTGTTCGACTCGAGAGTATTCTCATATGCAAACAGTTGACTGGTTCTGATTTATTATTCGTAACACATGACTACAGAAGTAATATTTTAGTTGCTTTATTTTTCAAATTTCAGATAATCGCTGCATCACTGATCATAGTTTGCAATAATTTGGAATCATACTCCTTAAAGGTGGGGGGACAGGAGATTTTACGGAGGATTTTTGGAGCCCGCGTGGCTCAGTCGGTAGCGGCGCCGCACCTTCAGGACTCGCCTCCGCAAGTTCAACTCCGCGAGGGGTATATTGGTACGGAATTTCGAGAGCATTATATTTTTCATATCCCCCACCTTTAAGAACTTGAGAAAACTTTTCCTACAAGAATTCTACTGTAAGATTTTGAAAAACACAGCAGGAATTTGTACAATCCCTCGAATCCGAAAACTTAAGTTCCTCGCATTCTCAGATTTTGTTCAAAGTATTCCATTTTATCGTTCTTTCAGTTCGACTTCACTTTGCAGATTAGATTTCGTGTCTCTCCGTCACTGGGGACTCATATCCCGTTAACTTTTTTCTGTAGCTTTCAATCTGAGTAGTACCATCAAATCTACATCATTCTCTCATCTTCCAAATCGACGCCATCATCTTTTCCGTCCAGATGGCCTCCCACCATTTTTTTCTATCAATGTAATTTGTTGAAAAGCATTCCTTCAGGCACTCCAATTCCAATTTGTTTGAGATGCTGCTCCTTTTGTTTCTCGCATCTTCTTGTTCGTCTTCTTTCTTCCTGTTTGTCCTTCTGATAGGCGATGAAGGATGTGTGCAAAAAAAGAAGAAGCAGCAAAAAATTTAAAGAGCAGCAAGCACCTCTCGAACAAATTGAATTATTTTTATTGCCCGTGATGATAGATGTTCGATAATGCAGATGACAACATGTACTGTAGAAACTTACGTGCCAACTCAGGAATCTTCTGTTTCCGCATTTTAACCTAGATATCCGGAGTTTTTAGAAGTAGTAGGACCCACTTGAGGTCTTTTCCTGGCTGTTCTGAAGTCCAGAGATTTCTTTTCTAGAATCAGAAAGACATTTTCGTCAGAGCAAAAAAATTTGAAAACTCTTTTATGAAGTAAAAAATGCCAAGGTGTTTGAAACCCACAATGTTCAAAAATTTTGGCCAACTCCTCTCTAAATGTTCACAGATTAGGATACTGTATTTGCTCTAATAAAAGCTCACCTTGTCCGTGCACGTCGAGCTCAGATATCCCGGTTCCCGAGAAAGTTATAAAAAATTGATTAACTGACAAAACATTCCTGATATTATGATAAACAATGTATCAGCTGACAACTTTTTGATATCTCTCATAGGAGCTGGTATAATTGAGCTCATAGGGCAGGTATAGGGCGAGCTTATGTAGAGCAAATAGGGTAACAACGACTTCTAAGCTTCAACCAGTGATCAACAGTGTCCTTATTCAAAAACTTTTAACGAAATATCCGAAGTAAATCTAACACGATTTTAGCTCATAGACACAATCCTTGAAAATTTACGAGCCAGATGTACAGGGTGGCTGAAAAGTATTGAGACACTTGTTTTTTGTTGTATTTTCAAAAATGGAGTTTCAACAAAAGAACCAGATTTATTTTTTCAACAAATGATAGTAATAGAAAAGATATCAGAGGAGATATTCGAAGTTTGAGCCTTCGGCCTTGATGCACGCCTTCAAACAGCTGGAACAGAAGCGACGGTGCGCCGGAGGTAGTCATCGTCAAGATCATCCCATGCTTTGAGCAAAGCGGCCTTCAGTGAATCCACATTTGGGTGCGGTCGAGCCATCACCTTTTCCTCCAAATATCCCCAAACGGAAAAGTCGAGTGGATTCAGATCGGGCGAGGAAGCGGGCCACATGTCCTTGCCCCAGTAGCCAGGGAAATGAGCGTCGAGAACAGCTTTCGTGGATTTCGAGCCATGGGACGGGGCCCAATCTTGTTGAAGAATGAAGGGTTGCTGGCCAAAGTGGCTAGTGACCCACGGACGTAAAACATCCATCAACACCAACTTTTGGTACACATCCGAGTTGATTTTCACATTTCTATCAATGAAAACCAATGGGACTTTACCTTCCGACGTCAATCCAGCCCACACCATCACTGACTTTGGAAAAAGTCTCTTGTAGGCCAGACGACGCTTTGGGGACTTTGCTTCGTCCTTTGACAACAATTGCCGAGCATTCTGTCGGTTCGGAAGCGGCTCAACCGTAAAAATTTTCTCATCAGTCCAAATGACTTCAGAGAGGCGGCGCACCTTGAGTGCGTCGAGCAACTTTTTCGCTTTTTCGAGCCGATTCTTCTTGGACTGTTCTGTGAGGTATTGGCCACGAAGGAGCCGATAACTGTTCAGACCCAAGTCCTTTTTCACAATGGATTGAACCGACTGTCTTGGGATTCCGAGCGATGAAGCCATTTGGTTCATGCTGACCGCATCATTTCGTGTGATTCTCTTCTTGATGATGCCACGAGTCCGGCGAGTGTTGACAGTACGAGGTCTTCCGCTTTTCTTAAGCTCCAACACATGTCCTCGATCTTTCAATTGTTGCACAACTCGATAGACAGTTGCTCTCGGAAGAAGAAGTCTTCGAGCGATGTCACCGGTGGAGATGCCGTCGTTGAACAGCTTGGCAATGGTTTGGCGATGAGGAGAAGCTCTCATAACTTCGTGAAGAGATAAAGTGATGGGAAATGGCTCTAATGTCGGCTTATATACGCTCCCTATTTTCGAAATAATACGAAACTTTTCGAAAATACGACTTGGCACGGTGCCAAGAGCCATCATAACAAGTGTCTCAATACTTTTCAGCCACCCTGTAACGGAGTGTGTTTTGTGGTAGAATCCCATTCCTCAGGTATCAATCCCAACAAACTGCTTTTTCTCAACTTTTTTCTCGGTCGACACGACCTCCTGAAAGTCTCAAAGAGCTTTTTGTTACCCTTCTTTGCATGTGACTGACCTTCTTTTTGTGCTAATTGAATCAACTTATCTAGTGTCAACATCTGAAGCTTCATATACGCAATCGCAACAAATCCGACTAACCGACCTTCAGATGATCCATGATTTCTCCTCACCCATCTAACTCCAATCAGCTATTCTGAAATGTGATGTCATGTTTCACGGAACGACGAATTCGTCCTCCACTTTTATCCCTTTTTCCGTTTCAAGTCATCTTCTCTTTTCCGGGATCCCTTTTGATTCTTCCCCTCCTCACGTTGTTTTCTCTCCATTACTAATTGTAGAAACGCATCCTCCCTTCCCGTTGACTTCTTCAAACAGCATCAGTCGAAAAACTTTCTGCTCCTTTCGTGTCCTACTTACTCTGATTGCCTTAGTTAGTCACTGCCAGTAACAGCTAACTGCACAAAGAGGGCGGAGCTTCTTGGGAGCAACGTGCGTGCTCCATGCTCTTTTCAGAAGGTCTCTCTATTCGGTTTGCTTTTGCCATTCTTTTTTTGAGGCCTGCGTCATCACAATGAACATGTGTGAGTGCATCCGGCTGGATTATTCTTTATTTCTTGAGTATACTTCATCTTCCTGAACTTTCTTACCCTTTTTCAAGTGGTTGGTTCTGGTCACGACCTAGACATTTCAAGTTATTCCTTTCCCCAGATTATATTCTGCTCCAAAATTTTTCCCAACTTGAAATTTCCGATTTTTTACTTCAACAAGCTCCCCGTTTTGTTTTTCTCTCAGTTTTTACCCAGTTCCAAATGTTGTCTTCTCTCTTTTACCCAAATTTACTTTCTGTTCGTTTTCAAACGCCTCCTACCGCTAACTAATTTATTTTTGTTCCGGTTCTCACACCTGTTTTTTCTTGTCTATATTATTCTTCTTATTTTTTTGTCAGGCAATATTGTTTTCTTTCGCGAGCCATAACAATTTCAGGTATCAGTCTGTCGATGAGGTGGTTGTGCAGATGACAATAATGAAGTTTATTCCCAAAATCACACTACTCTTGCTTCTTTTATTCGTACACTCTTCACAGGTTTGTTGCACTATATCCTAGTTTCTAGTGATTCTAGATCTTTTCCTTTTCCTTTTTCTTACTCATATACATGAGGAAAGAAAAAGATAATCGAATTGTTTGAGAAGTGAGAAGTGCAAAGATTGAGAGGTAAAATCCTATATTTAGGCTAAAGGAAAACGACGGAAATGTCCAGAGGGTGCGTGGTCGGAAGGGAAGATTATGAACACGATCATGAGCAACTATACCAAAATGTTACCGGAAGCGGAGGATAGTGTACAAGTCAACATTGAGATTCATGTCCAGGTTAGTGAGGGATGAGGTTTCTGATTGGTATGAACCGTTGTAGCCGAGTGAGAAATCGAGTGAGATACTTCAACCTCTTCAAGAAGACATTGGCTACTTGTGAATCCATTTTTCCCTATTTTTCAAAGTTTTTTTCGAGATGTGGATCAGAGTGGATTTTCTCAAAATGAACTTCTCAAAATTCCACTCTGATCTCTATCTCGCTGTCTTTAGCTTCATCTTTCTCTCTGAACACTGCCTACAGTTACGGTAAACACACTTCTCCAACTTTGAGCCAATTTATCTTGCTTTCTGTGAAAGATATCATAAAGTTGTAAACTAACAAAATACTTTTGATATTATAATAAAAAAATTGTAAATTGACTACTTTTTGATATCTTCTACAGGAAACCAGCTATATGAGGTCAAAGTTGGCAATGTTGGAGCCCTTCTCGTTGTTGGAGTTGGAGTGCCCAGGATTTAGGTTTTTTTTCTCTTTTTCCAAAATTTCGAAACTCGATTTTGTTCAACTTGTACAGTCGTACGATTTCCTAATAAACCAACAAACATAATCTGTGCTACCGTATTCCAGCAGGTCAAACACTGGAACTTTGTTCTAATCAATTCTTCCCAAACCCCACCCCTCTAATCTTTCTTTTTTTACTCTTTTTTTTTGTTTTTACTCGAATGTTTCCGAGTCGTTGATGAACTGCTTGAACTAAGAGAGTCACATGAGGATAAACTTGATGGAATGACAAACTTTTTGCTGTGCCCAGAAGGCGGATTCTCTACACTGAACTTATTTTTTTTTGCAAACTTTCAAACTCTCAAAACACAGAAGATGAGTTGGAAACAACTCAAAAGTCGGGATAATGAAAATGCTTATGGTTAGAGCATGTGCAGAATTCTGGGAATTTTTTTTTCTGAAAAGTTTTTGGAAGTGTGGAAATGAAAAGAGAAGAGTCAAAAGTCATCAATCTAAAATATGTCTCTTTCTATCTGTTTTAGGTCAAAGAATCTCTTTGAAGAAACATGCATATAAGCCTTGTTTACAACTGAAAACAATATAAAGATGGATAGATTTTTGACCAGAATCTCTACTTTTTTCTATCATAACTTTAGTTATTGTCGTTTTTCGGTTATAGTGAATCGGATTTTCACAATCTTTTCATTTTTTTTTTTTGAAATTGTAGTCCTCAAAGTTTTATTAAGTTGTCTCACACTGCATTTGATGAAAAAGTGTTTGATAAGTTTGTCGGGAAAACTCGTCCCATGGGGTCTCACTCAGTTTGGGTGGCAGATTTGGAAACATTTTCATATGAGAAAAAGGGAAAATATGGAAATAGAAAGTTGAAAAGAACAGGAACTCATTTTCAGGATATGGGAAGTTTGAATGAGATCTCGTCTGACTTTGAAATCGACATCCTGTTCACTCAACTGTGGCACGACTCTGCGTTGTCGTTTGCTCATCTTCCGGCTTGTAAGCGGTACGTGTGTTTTCATTCTCGTAAAATTCCAAAACACAGTCGTCTTAATTTCAGAAACATCACAATGGAAACTCGTCTTTTACCTAAAATCTGGTCTCCTAACACGTGCATGATCAATTCGAAACGCACCACCGTACACGCTTCACCATCTGAAAATGTGATGGTTATCCTTTACGAGGTCCGTTTTTGATTTTCTGACGTCACATGGATGTCTGAAGACATTAGCTAGGCACACCCTTGTCTTTTTCTCTCTTTTGTTGAATTATTGATGATAGACATCTCTCTAATTACTCGAATACTTACACCTTTATTCGATAGGGAGAATGAAAAAAAGAGAGTCATTTAGAAAGCACTTCAATAGATGAAATAAAGGGTGCACACATTTCTTATTAGCACTTTTTTCTTGAATTCCTTGAGATTCTAGGAACTGAAACATGTAGTAGGGAAAGTGAAATTTTGACTTTTCCAGAACGGAACCGTGTGGATCAACCATCGACTCAGTGTAAAGTCTCCGTGTAACTTGGATCTACGACAGTTTCCATTCGACACTCAAACTTGTATTCTGATCTTTGAGTCCTACAGTCACAACTCTGAAGAAGTAGAACTTCACTGGATGGAGGAAGCTGTGACACTGATGAAACCAATTCAGCTGCCAGATTTCGATATGGTACACTATTCGACAAAGAAAGAGACCCTTCTCTATCCAAACGGATATTGGGATCAACTTCAAGTCACATTCACATTCAAACGGAGATACGGGTTTTATATTATTCAAGCTTATGTTCCAACCTATCTCACTATCATCGTCTCATGGGTTTCATTTTGTATGGAACCAAAAGCTCTGCCAGCAAGAACCACAGTCGGAATCTCATCTCTTCTGGCTCTCACATTCCAGTTCGGAAACATTCTCAAGAACCTTCCACGGGTTTCCTATGTAAAAGGTTTGTTCTTGACTCTTTTCGAACAATCATGAAATATTTCAGCCATGGACGTATGGATGCTTGGATGCATATCATTTGTGTTCGGAACCATGGTCGAGTTGGCATTCGTTTGTTACATCTCCCGCTGTCAGAACAGCGTGAGAAAGTGAGTTTCCTTCCGGGGAGCTTTTTTTTGGATAATTGAATCATTTCTTATAAATATAAACGAAAGTCAATTAGGAGTGTGTGGAGAAATTGAATTTCTCGGAATGACTGTACAGGGAAAAAATGAAAAAAAAATAATTTGCAGTGCCGAACGACGACGGGAACGAATGAGAAATTCGCAGGTGTGGGCGAATGGATCCTGTCGAACAAGAAGCAACGGGTATGCGAACGGGGGATCTATCATCTCACACTATCATCCGACAAGCAACGGAAATGGGAATAACAATAGACAGGATACACCTCTGGTCACTGGAAGGTAGGTTGTTTGGATTCCATACTTTGGAACTAGGAACAGAGGGAAACATTTCGCTAATTTCAGAGGATCCCTACATCGAAATGGTCCACCATCTCCACTGAATCTTCAGATGACAACATTCGACTCTGAGATCCCTTTGACGTTCGATCAGGTAGGCATGGTTCACACAGACGGGATTCAAGCTTCAAATAATTTTCGGATTTCTCATTTATCAGTGGTTTTCTCTTTTCAAAGCTTTTTCACTTTACCCACTTTTCTGATTTAAACTATCAACTAACTATTATTTTTCCTTGTTCAGCTGCCAGTTTCCATGGAATCCGATAGACCCCTGATTGACGAGGTAACTGAAACAAGAAGTAGTCACCTGAATTCCCTGTGTTCCTGCTCTCACTCAATTCTTTTTTTGTATATTTTGTTCTTCATTTTCACTATTCAAAGTCTAAAACACACCGAGTTTCAAGATCAGTGGGAAACCTCAAAACTTCAAAAAATATGCATGATATCAAGTTTTGAGCCAGTTTCACTGACACAAAAATGCTTAATCTCCACTAGTGTCCACAACAGAATTCTATATGTCGTTTATGTTAATTCTATGTTCCCTCCTTTATGTATCGGAAAATCCTATCTGTGTACTCTCAAAACGTCCCTGTGAGCCTCAGAGTGCTGAAGTCTTCTGTACACTTATGTGAAAATGCAGCATTGTCCAAGTGTAAAAGCGTTGTCTATCTAGGCAGAACAATTTTCTATTCCAGATGCGACCTGGATCACCACCTCCACCATCTGGATGTCTTGCGAGGTTCCATCCAGAAGCAGTCGACAAGTTTTCCATCGTCGCATTCCCATTGGCTTTCACAATGTTCAATGTAAGTCCTCTCTATCCTAATTCCATTCGGTCGGGAACTTTAATCGACCGACCGACCGCAGGCCCACTTTGGGCATTTGCGTCGGATGCCGGTCGGCTAGGTCGGCGGTCGGACGGCGGCCGTCGATTTACGACAGGCCGAAATTGAATCCTTACTCTCTCTTCTCACGATACAAGCATTCTCATGTGAATCTTACAGCTCGTCTACTGGTGGCACTATCTCTCGCAAACCTTCGATCAAAACTATCAGTGATCTTGGTTCCTACATTCCGCTTGATAATACAACGTTTGCCGGTAACTTTCAATCTTCCGATGCAGTTTCTCACAGACAGGGTCCCCCAATGTATCTCATTTTCAATTTAACACTTTTTTCTTCATGTAAACTATTTCTAGAATTGTTTATGTACATTATGTCAATTCAAAAAAAACAATAAATAATGGTATTGATATTGATGTTTGATATTATCCGATTCGAGAGATCCGTGATCTCAGATCACACACTTTTGATTGTTGCATATCCATTTGATGATGTCGATTTGACCGTAACTGTCTTTGGTTTTCCTCGACTAGACGTCGTATTCAGTTCTTCCACGTTCCTGCAAAAGAAACTTTCCGTTCTATCAAAGATCATTGATCTACCTACCTGCATGAGACAACTGCGGCAATCACTTGGCGATATTTAACCGAGAAAATTAGATAAATGAAAAATGTAGACATGGAATAAGTGACAAGTAATAGATTTGATATGTGGTGGAGGACTCGGAATAGAGTGAACTGAAAACAATGTGATGTTTCAAAGTGAGTTTTTTAGCTCACCTGGAATTGTGCATATGTCTTGAAGATCAAATTAACAAATTTCAAACTCGTATTGAACATGTGGCAGGAGGCATACAAAATTACCATAACTAGAAGCATCGTGGTCGTTTTCTTGTCTTTTTGTTGCTGTGTTGTGAGCAATTTACGTTCTTCATTTGATTTTTGGAGTTGCTTGATTACTTGGATATTGGTTACAGAGATCACAGTGAATGGAATGAGAGTATCGAAGAAGATAGAGCGTATTCCATAATACAGAATGAAATACCATTTGTTATTTGCACTGTGTGAAAGACCCATATTGACAATTCCAGTGGATAAGCTGAAATATTATTCAGAGATGGTACCGCTTCATAAGATGTACAAAGACGTATATTCAGTTGCTTTTCGGCCATGCTAGCCATTTTTGGGAATCTGGAGCTCGGCTCGATCACTTTGATCTTTGAAGGGTGTAAAACAAACCTATTATAGATTGAAAACATTGCATTCATAGAATTTTTTGAAAATTCCTAGTTTTTCACATATTTGCCGATTTCTGAAAGATACCTCTTTTTGACCTATTTTTGTACTGAAAACGGGAAAAAGTACTTGTATATCTTGTTTAAAGGTGATTGCTATGTGTAAGATCGCCATAGACAAACTTTACTATGTTTTTTGAACCAAAGCAGTTAGCTAGACATTTTTTAACCGGCGTGACCTATTAATAGCTTTAACTATAATGGTTTAGCTATAATTTAAATATCGCCTGAATTCTAATTTATGATGACCTAGCCATCAGCAATTGAATCCAGCTATTATACATTTCCACCCTTTTTTCAAACTATTAATTTTCAAACTTTTTGAACTTTCGAATTTTCAAATTCCCATGTCCGTTCAAGTCTTCTATGTTCAAACTAATTCTCAGGGAAACCCCTGCCATTTCTCTAAAAGATAAACTGCCAAAGCTCTAAAACACACCCTTCGCCAGTTTTCTCACACAAAACATAAGCACAAGTCATTTTTCTTCAAACTAGCCCACTTACTCAGCAGTAAATTCCAAGAAGCGTGGAGCATTGAATACCACGGCAACTACTATTATATAGATCATTGCCCTTATCGTGTTGTTCAGTGTGCACCAGACTTGAACTTGTAACGGACGGCACACTGCGAACCATCTTTCAACGGCAATCAGTACGATGATATATTGACTTGTCATTTTTGCAGTACAACCAATTGGGTAGACATAAACAATACAAAAAGCGCTAAGAATAGTATGAAAGGAGCCAATTTTGTTGTAGCCGGGACTGCAAAAACTATATTTTTCAGGAGCATTTCAGGATTACAATTACTTACAGAAAGGGTAGTTTGTAGATGGAAAAAGTCGGAAGAGCCGCAAGAAGAACAAAAAGATCAATTATGGATAAACTGAGAAGAAGAAAGCCAACCTAAAACTTTTGAAGATTATGAATAATAAATTCATGTTCGATTTTCATGGTGCAAAACTAGCTTTGAAAGTTATGACTCATACCGTGAATGCTCTAACTAAGGTAAGGTAAGTAAGGTAAGCCCACCCCATACTTACACTTTGAGCTCAATTATCTCGGTTGCCATGAAAGATAAGAAGATGAAATTTTCCAAATTTTGAACTTTCGTTTGAATACAGACAAGCCAATAAACTACTCTGTTGATGCACAGAAATATAAGAAACATAGTTTTGTCGATTTTTTTTTGTCTGAGAATTATACTTCACAAACATTTTTTGGCAATTTTCACCATGAATCTTTATATCCCTTAAAACGCATTAAAGTGTCGTATTCAAGAGATTTCTGTGGAAATTTCTCCGGCAGACATGAAAAAGTTATTGAATGTCTAAAGTTAATTTTTTCTGTATAAAGTATACATATTTTTCTAATTTATGAAGACTTTTGAACCAGAGTTTGAAAATTTCAAATTTTAATCATCTTATATCAAAAATTGGGAAACTCATAAAATGTTAATGATGGATTGTTTAATGCTGAATGTATGATGATCGTTTAGTTGGTTACTTTTTGATATCTTTCAAAAGAGCCGAGATGATTGAGCTCATAGTGTACGTATAGGGTGAGCTTGTAATAGAGCATTTATGGTAACTTACAAGGCAGAAAAAAAAACAACTTACCGTACTCTTCTTCATATGTTTTCTGCTATAGACATATATGGAAACCGTATTTCCGAATATTCCTATTAGAATAATTGGTAGCATTATTATTGCGAACACCTCGTTCACAGTCAAACTGTGAGGACTCGATGGTGATCGAACCGTGGCGTTGGGAAGCATATACTCCTGAAATAGCATAACTGATAAATGAACGATGATAAGAGAAAATGTGTGAGTGTTGCCTACATCCGAAGATGAATTCCAGGATGAATTAGTCGATAATGAGGTCGTGATATTATTCAACATTTCTCTCCTCCGGAAATTTGAATGAATATGGAGTTAGTGGGAAAAACTGCTCAACGGGCAGAAAAACTGACTTTATATAGAGGAGAAAAAAGGGTAAAATGGCAAAGTAATGGAAGAACTTCATCATTCTTCCAACTTGGAGGTAATTACATCTCCGAAAGATAGAAAAAGAGACCCAGAGTTCAGTCTACATACTCTCACTCTTTTTTTCTTTTGTTTTTAAACTTACCAACTCGAAATGAGTTCTTCCATAGTGGTCAATTACGGGAGGCATTGTTGAAATAGTTTTCAAAGTCGTATGTGAAATTGATGAGACCCGCATCTCCAGCCTTTTTATTATTAGCTCATTTTTTTCTCGCAGGCTCGTTTTCTCTGAAATTGGCGAATATTATCGGTTTCTGGACTGTGGCCAAATGAGGGGGCAAGGAAAGTTGATGTATAAAAACGGAAAAGAAGAAGAAGAAGAAGAAGCAAGTGATGAAGGAAGTAAGAATTTATATAAGGAGAAAAAAGAAGCATGACGAGAGAAGATGATACGGAAAACTTTATACATACTTTTTATTCCTTGGTTAACAAGATGAAAATTGGCGTCGTCTTCAAAACAAAACGAGGGCGTAAATGAATTTAGGGTGGGAGAGATGAAGCAAATATGGAGACGACAAGAGGGAAAAGAAACATTCAGTGGGAATTTATTCAGACAAGAACACGGACATACTTTCTTATGCATTCAAAAAAACAACAAAGATTCGGAAAGGACCTCTTCTTTTCTCAGACGGCTTGTGGTGGATTATTCGATGAGGTGCCTTTAGGCAAGCGCATGAACAACGATTTGACTGTTGCTTTGTATTTCTCAGAAAATATCAAATAGTCGATAAATGAGAAAATCGGATGGAGGCACATGCAGAAATTGGAAATTTCCTTCCGAAGTATGGATATCTGAAAATACGAGTTTTTGGGAACAAGAGGGAAAGTTTCATTATCTGTTGACTCTTTTCTAAGAATACTGAGAAGAAACAAGCAAAAAATATGACTCTATTTTAGTCTCAAGAGAGTAGTTGTAACTACGACAATTGGGTTCCGGGAACTCCGTGAGTTTTTACAAATAACTAAATGCATCTCAATGAAGATTCGGTCTGAATTTTTTCAATTCAAAAGAGAACAAATTGGGAAAATAACTACTGAAAAATATTTTTTGATTCATCTTTTTATTATCCTTATTTCTATTGAAACAGAACCCGTTCCAAAAAGATGGTGACCTATTTTTTATATAATTGTGGAAATTGAACTCAAAGTGCAAGTATAGGATGATTTTCTATCAAAGTGTTTACAGTAAGTTTGATTGTATATCTTCAGGACTCACTTCTTGTGGCAGTTGAGTTGTCAGATTTTTATCCAGGTATTCAATCAACATACTTGGTGAATGTGTGCCAACGTAAGCCAGAAGAACAAAAATAAGCATGATAGTTGTTCGCCGATCTCTGGACGACTGGAAAAAAGAGGTTGGAACAAAATTCAAAATCTGGAACTTACTTGGCTAGTCATTCTCATGCGTACGAATTGAGAGTATTTTAGGAGTGCAATTATAGAAATATTGATAAATAGAAGAAGAGAAAAAATAATTAACGCATTGAAAACATTATCGTCAAAATAGTTTATAACTCCTATGAATGAGTTTTCAGTCCAATTTTTGTTTGGAACTGGTCTTCCATTGTAAGGACTGCAAATATTCAAATGAGTTTATGAGTGGAACAATATTAACCTACTTAATGATTTGTTCTCTAAATCTGGGAATTGATAGAAAAACTGATAAGATAAATGAAAATAGTAGTGCCCATCTTGTTCGTGTCATACTGCACAACTCTCTGACCTAAAACACGGATTTCACTTCGAATTTCATTTCAATTTTCAACCTGCATTGGAAAAAATACAGCAATCCATTGTTGAAGAGAAATCAGAATAGATACGCAGACACACATATATTTTGTAACATGAGTGAAAGGCCAGATATAAACAAGAATGTACGCTTTAAATTTTGGATATTCGGTGGAACATGTTCTGAAAAATCGTAATGGTTGTTGCCGGAGTAAAGCAACTCTAAAACCGACAATGATGGGAGGTAGGCAATGGAAAATGATGGTAGTGCAAAGAACAAGAACGAAAACTCAAAAATGGATAGAAATGCGAAAAGATATCCAATCTGAAAGGACTTCAGTTTAAAAACTTTCTATGCTCGGCTTACTGTAGTTTTCCGTTGCTCAGGCCGCGTGTATACAACAATCGAAATACCAGTAAGAACCAATCCTGCCAAAATGAGAGGTAATGAAACCATTGCAAATATGTGTTGTGAGTTCAAGGAACATTGGAAGGTCATTGAATCCTGAAAACAATTATTGCCATTAGTCCTCATTTTGTTTCCAATGAAAGTTTTTTAAGTGATAGAATAGTTTTCATAAATCGACAAAAAGAGCAAATGCGCTTTAAGAAAAAGAAAATGTGACTCACATCGACCTCTGCCGAAATGATGGGTTCTTCTATTGCTTGCTCGAGTTTTCTCTTCAGAAGGGAGGGCTGAAATCAGATTTTCATCTAATTTAATTAAAGGGAAATAGTCACAATGCTTTCATTAAGCAAGTCCACTTCCTGGGAGTTGTCGACCATTTTAGAAGTCGTTGAACTTTTTTCTTCTTTTTCGAAAGTCTTCTTGCAATAATTAAGAGCACTTGAAATGGCACACGAGAAGGCGCAGCACGGGTTCCTCACAGCTGAATAAAAAATTTGAAAGACTGAAAAACAAAAAAAATTGACAGGATGTACGAATGTTTCGCTCCGGAAATTGTGTGTGACACGTGACCGAAAGATCCGGAGGTGGCGAGAGTCTTTTTGGCTTCAGTATCCAATATTCAGCATGGATTAAGCTGTAAAACTTTCTCTTCGCGAGGATAAACAAACATTTTTGATTTTCGAGATTGAGCCAATAGGGCGAAGCATACGTCAGGAGGTATACTAGAATTTTTTTAAGACTCTTGTGTCCTTTAACATTATTCCGAAGAATGAGAGAATAGAGGGAATTTCAATTAACCTTGATTGAATGGATAAGTGTGCAACACGAGAATTCGTAAATCAGAATGAAACGGAAATGTTGTGAGAAGAGCCAAAGTTCACCTGCCCACTCACTTTCCATGCAAATGGGATAAAGATCAAAAGTTTTAAATAACGAAAAAAAGAAGGCCAATAACAATAAAGAAAAATACCAATGTTGTAAATAACGAAAAGATAATATCTTCTGAATCATTGCATTCCTTCGGGAATCCGTTGAATATTTTTTGTTCTTATCAATTCTTGAAAATTGTTCTGATATTATCAAAACAGACAATCGAATTTCAATCAAACAAGAACTTTTAACAAGCAACAGCAGCATACGCACCATTTGCTTCAAACCCACAGAAATCTAGCCCTCGAGCACATAAAAACCAAACTTTTAAAAAACAAACTTTTTAAAAAGTGAGGATTTTGCTAAGTTTACAGGAGGAATAAAATCAGAAAAAAAAAATACATTCAGGTAGAAATCACCAAAGGAATCTCCAGAACTTGGACCATTCAGACCGAAGAGAAGGCCATAACAATAAAGAAAAATACCAATCGTAATTATAAAAGTGAAAAAATTTCTTCATCATTATCAATTACTATCCATGCTCTGACCATTTCCACAGTGTCTACAGTATCCCACACATTGTCTTTTTTTCTACAGTAATCCAAGAGTTGAAGCCTTTGAGTCTTCAAACCTTCACACATTCCTTCTAGAATTTCCTTCGGTTTTCAACCTTCTTGATTTAAAAATACCTCGAATTGATCAGTTTTCGCTTCCAAAGTGTCCAGTAATTTTCGAAATTCTTGGTTTGTTCTGTCAAAAAATAAGCAAACGGATATGTCCATTGCAATGTTTTTTGAGATTCCCGCAAAAATTCGTTTGTCTGCAAAAAAAAATAATTAAACCTTGATTGAAAGTTCCCGACTTACAGTCTTTTCCAACTTCTTGAAATATTTATCCGTCATAGTAATATCGCAAACGATAGTCATTTCGACGACGATTCCGATCTTTGACTCTGAAATTATTTGTTGGGTGAACATTAAATTTGACAATTCTTCAAATTTTAGATGTGACAAAAAACTTTTAGGACTGTTGTTTAAACGAAAGCGTCCAAACAAAATGGAAAAATCTTTTTTTTTCACTGAAATGTTCTTTCATAATAATGTGTTTTTTGTTACCAAAAAATTAACTTACGGTTTACAAAAATGAGGCGTTATTGATAAACTTCTTTCAACTAAACAATTCCAACAAAATCGTAATTGACAGTTTGAGCATCTCACAACATCACATCCATTCTCTCGTTCAATCGTTACATAGCAATTCGGAAAATCTTTTGTGTTGAACATGATCCATTGCATCGAAGGATTTTCATGAAACTCCCGGCAAACTTTTTTTCCATTCTAACAAATTTTCACATGAAATTGGGTCGTGGGGTTCGTGGAAACATTTTGTGCACATTTTGAGACCACATAGACAAGTTATATAAACCTTAGGTGAGAAAAATCGTACGATATTTGGACATTTCGGACAAAGAACCATATCTTTGTGTGATTTTACATAACTGCTCAGTTTTAACTTTTCATACAAATCTAAGTTTTCAGTATGGTTTGCCAGTAACTTCTCAATTATTTCATCTGAAATCAAATGTTCACATTTCAAACATTCGATTGTTTTTGTCTTGTGATTAAAGACTTTTTCAGCAATGTAGCAAACCCAACACTCTTCACAAGCCACAAGGCAACTGTACAGAATAAGCTCCATCTTCGATCGTGGTTAATGGGGATATTATTATTAGAAATTTCTCCAGAAAATTCTTCGAATCGCAGTTTTCCTTCTGTAGCAAAACCCTGCAGTAACCCGTGGATATTGGAACTTTTGATTGGATTTCTACAATTTTTGAATTCATTTGAAGTTGGATATCCGATGAGAAGATAATCTGAAACATTGATTTTAAGTCTCACCACAGAATATTCTCTATGGACATTACTTGAATGGCCCAAAAGTATCTGCATCTTGAAACTTTATACAACTTTCATGGAATGTGAAGTTTTAGAAACTTTATTTCTAGTTAAGTCAGTTATTTTAAAAATTTGGGCCTCACCACAAACCTAAAATTGATTTTGTGAATTTCAAGAACTTACCACAAATTTATTTTTGTCATTTTCGATCGATTCCTCCATTTTCTGTACAAATGTTGACTCAGAAAAAGTACCGATGATTGGAACAAAAAAGAAATGAATGAGGAATCAAAAAGAGGAAAGTCAAGAACCGAAAAACATTGGTCCCAGGGAAGCAATCAAAAAGGCGACAAGGGAGAGGATTTCGTGGTGAGACCCCTACATTAATTGTTTCCCTGGGACCAAATGTTTTTAAGTTAATGATTTTTACACCAGTCAATTTGCCTTTTCTTTTATGTAAAAATTTGAATTTCCAAAAAAAAATCTTTCACAGACAGATGAAGGGATTAGGAAAATAAAATGGCCCATGTAATAGAAGGGTCCTTTGATAATCGTTCCGTTTGAAACGATGCATTGCTTCGTTCAAAAACATGAATTCAGCACATTTTCAGAAAATAAGAAAATAATATATTGATTTTGGATTCAAGGTCTCCGGATTCTGCTCATCTCAAAAGTTTTAAAGGAAAATAAAACCCAATACAGGACTTGAAAAAAACTTTCTGCAAAAAAGTTAATAGATTCATGACTGAAAAGTTTCGAACTTACTGTTTTCTCTAATTTTTTAAAATATTTTGCGAACCCATCATAGTAATATTGCAAACGAAGATCACCACGACGACGATTCCGATCTTTGGGTCTGAAATTTTTGTTGTGTCGACATTGAATTTTGACGGGTTCGAGCTTTGAAACAAAAGTTAGAAAAGGTGGGACAGCAGAACTTTTAGCAGACAAACAGGGAGTCCGTATTGTGCTATTTGTAAAAAAGGACGAAAAAAAATGATAAAATGCAACTTATGGGTGAATTAGAGTACTGTGGTTGGGGGACCCCGATAGTCTAATTTTTTGAATTTGACACTATTATTCGATAGCTACAGTGGGATGAAACGAAACGTCACACCCCATAATCATGAACAACTCATGGAAAATTCGCGAAAAAATTTCAGTCGACAAAATACTGAAATCAGCCATAACCACAAACACTTTCACTTTAAAAAAAAAGAAACTCACTTTATACACAATTGGGGTATGAGGTCACATCTTTCAGCAAAACAGTTCCAGCAAAATATGATTTGACAATTCCAGCATCTCACTGCATTGCGTCCTCCAGTCTTCTCAATCGTTAAAAAACAATTTGAGCAATCTTTTGTGTTATTCATCACCCATTGAATTGAAAGACTTCCATTAACCTCCAGACAAACTTTCGTCCATTCTGACATATTTTCACATGAAATCGGATCATGGGGTTCGTATGAACATTTTGTGCACATTCTGGTACCACATAGACAAGTGATATAAACCTTGGGAGAGAAAAATCGAATCAAATTTTCACATTTCAAACATTTAATTATTGATGTTTTGTGATTAAGGACTTTTTCAGAGATATAAGAAACCCAACACTCTTCACAAGCCACATTCTCCGTCTTCGATGATGGTTACTGCGGCCATTGTTTTTAAAAATTTCCTCAGAAAGTCTTCTATATCCCCAGTTTCCTTCTGTATCAACACCCTACAGTAACCCGTGGATATTAAAATTTTCGATTGGATTTCTTCGATTTTTGAATTCATTTGAAGTTGGATATCCGATGGGGAGAGAATCTGAAACTTTGAAGAACACTTTTTAGGTCTCAATTTGAGACTCTCAAATATTATCTATGGTCAAAACTCTCCAAATGTTGGAAATCAGAAAAATCGTCAATTAAACTCGCATTTCAGAATATTGTCTTTAATGAATTTGGTTGTTTCGAAACTACACGAAACCTTCATAAAATCGGAGTTTGAGAATGTTGAGTTACAACACGAATTTCTTCCGTTGAAAGATTTTAATGCTTACCTCAAATCCTTTTTCGACATCTTCAATCAATTTCTCCATCTATCTGTAAAAGATGTATTCAATCAGGGTTGACGAAATATGTATTTGGAACATACAGAGAAGAAGAATGCAATGGAAGAGTCGAAAAGTCAATAACCTAGAAACATTTGGTCCCAGGGAAACAACTTATGTAGGTGTCCCACCACAAAAACATCGCTGACTTGACACCTTTTTGATTTCTTCAGTGGGACGAAATGTTTTAGGTTATTGAACTTTCCACTTATTGGTTGTTTATGCATTTACTCTTTGCTCCAGCTATTGGTATTTTCTCTGAATTAAACAAAATTCTACAGAAAAATGAAGAAATTGAGTGAAAATGTCAAAAATCAATTTGTTTCAAATTAACAAAACGAAATAGAAAAGAAGCCACTGTGTGGCTTCTTTTCTATATCAGAAATTAGAGAGACGGGATATGGTAGACACTTTAGAAACGGCCAGGTAATGGATACCCCATTAGTATGTTGACGAGATTTTGGAAATTATAAATCAGTTTTTTTCCATCATCAAGGCTAATTTTTCTAACGTCATAAACGAAAAAAATAGAGAAAACTCGATGATGTGATGAAAAGTACAGAAACCAAAAATCCCATTTTTTCCGATTCGTTCGTGATTTCATTAAAAACGATGAGTTAGATTTGTGAATCTGAAAACATTAAAAAGGCATTAATTTACTTTCCAATATTTTTCAAGCAACTTTATTTGATTAGCATGGATTGACATTCGGTATTCAACAAAATCACAATCCTTTCCCGTTTTTCAGATCAAAACTGCAAGAAAACAACAAAAAATGAATCTGAAAATCTGTACCCGGAAAACGTTATCGACAGATTTCAAAAACTTCCAGGAACTTTTCAAAACGAATCATCCAATTTGTTTTTCTATTCTTCATATTTTCTGTCCTCCGATTTCTGCCTTGTGCAGTTCCGATAGATCAACTTACTGATTTTTAATCAATTCGACTGATTTGATATGAGGGATAGAATAACATCTGAACCAAACTTTGGAGTAGTTTTCATATAAAAGGAACCTTGAGAATTTTGAAAAGACAAGGAGTTCAATCATGAGAACGCTCCCAATTCTTCTCTTCGTGGTTATTGGTGCCGTCTACTGCTATCCATATCAGAATGGCAACGTCGCTTCGAACTCTAACTTGGCTGAAATGGAAGGAGTTGATGTGTTGGAAAAAGTGAAGAGAGCTAGCGATCAGAAATTAGAGAGACATTTGGAGAAAATTGTGAGTTTCCCCAACTAGAGTTTATTTCGAAAGTTATCCTTACAGATGAAGAAAGTGGAAAAAATTCAAGACAAGATTGAGGAAAACAAGAATAAAAGGGTGAGATTTCATTTCTATTCCAGTTTGAATTTTTTGATTTTTCAATTTCCAGGAGCGCAAGAACAAGAACAAGAACAAGAAGGATGAGGATGAAGATGAAGAAGAGGAAGATAAGGACAAGAAGAAAAAGGATAAGAAGAAGAAGGACGGTGATGATGATGAGGACAAGAAGAAGAGAAAGAAGCAAAACAGTGACAGTGAGGATTCAGAAGAAGAGGATAAGAAGAAGAAGAAGAATAAGAGAAAGAACTGATATATTTTTAAATTTGTACACATTCATTTTTCATGCACTAATAAATTTTGTCAATCCGAATGAATAGTTTTTTCGAGCTCATAAACTTTTCTGATAAAATTGATTTGTTAAGAAGCTGTACAGTATAAAAATCAAATTTCAGAAAGTAGCGAAGATTTTCAGAGCTATTCGGATGTTTTTAGTTCGGACTAGGGATGTTCGGAATGACCTTTACAAAATTTCTCGAAATGTCGAAAATTCGGATTTGGAAAATTTCCGATTTTTAAAAATTCGGAATCTCGGAATTTCAATACATTCCAATTTTAAAATTTTTCGGAATTTCGGAATTCTAGGAATTTTTCAAAATTCAAATTTTAAAGTAGAAATTCCATTGATTCCCGTAAGCAATATTTACATACCGTAGTCCAAAAGTCTCTGATCTGGATAAATTCCGACCGGAATTTCATTCTTAATTTTTTTTGGAATTTTTTTTGGAATTTCCGTTCCGAACATCCCTGGTTCGGACCCATATACAAAAAAATCAGAGATTACTGAATTCCGGTAACCGAGAAAAATCGTTTACCGTATTATGGACTCCGTTTTTCAAAAACCTCATCGCGATTTTCGATGCTCCGAATTCCTTCAACAGTTGCCGTTCTCCCTATACTCTTTTTTGAAATACTTTTAAAAAGAGTCTTTCAAAACTATTCTCTAGTTCGCCCAAAGTTATTTTCTAAAAATCACGAAACATGTCAACGTAACAAAAATCAAGGGATAGAGAATCTTCTGACTATGAACGACTTGAAACCTGGATTCTCTGATTTTACAACACTCTCTAGCTTTGTCCAACACGTGTTTATGAGAAGGATTTCTTCTGAAGAGTTCAAGAGTTTGAAACCATCGTACATATTTCTGTTTCACAGCAAACCCAGGGATTGACATTTCAAGGCTGTATAAATAGGTCCGCAAAACCTTCACAACACTTCAGATTCTGTTTTGTTAAAATAGATTGAATTCTTGTTCTAGATTTTTTTTAATTCAAAAGTTTCAGGTCAACTGTTCGGAAACAAAGTATTATGTACTTTTTCTTTATCAGTATCACTTATCAAAAATCGAATATAATGTCGAAATTTGTGTCTTGTGCGCGGTTTTTGACGAAGACCAAAAAAAATTTTTTTCCCAAATGATTCAAAATGACTGATCTGATACCATTCTTATCAAATCGTGATGTTCTCTAAAAAAGTTTACTATAAAAGTTACTTTCAAGTTTTCAGGAGAGACACTTCCACTCAAAAATGCGGACGTTACCCATACTTCTTCTGGTCATAATTGGCGCTACTTACTGTTATCCATACGCCAAAAACGAGGAAATTGGACAAATTGCTGAACAAGATGCTGAAGAAACGGAATTGGTAGAAGTGGATCGAGTCAAAAGAGACAGTGATGGTTTGGCGAAAACAGTTGAAAAGATTGTAAGTTTTATAAATTTCCTCGCGAAACTAAAAATATGATTACAGATCGAGAAAGTAGAAGAAATGAAGGACAAAATCAAGGAGCACAGAGAAATGAGACATGTAAGTTTTAAAATAAATTTATGAGCCTAAGTCTCTGAGCACATGTAGCTATAGCTTAGTTTCAGGGTAGACATGGTTGGCACGGTAGACATGGAAGAATGGGAAGGGTATGAACCTAAAATGCTTTGCTTTAATGAAACGCTAACTTATCCCGAAATACTCTTATTGTCACTTTCGCTTTTTTTTTCGTTTGTAACACAGCTATTCTTTTCAGGGAAGACATGGACGAAAGAACAAGAAGAGTGGATCGGATTCGGATTCTTCGGATTCGTCGGAGGAGAAGAAGAAGAGAAAGAAGAACAGAGACAAGAAGAAGGAAGAGGAAGAGAAGAAGGAGGAGGAAGAGGAAGAGAAGGTTTGCAGAGAAATCGTTCCTTTTCTAATTCAATTTTGAAATTTTACAGAAGAAGAAGAAGGATAAGAAGAAGGACGAAGATGAAGAAGAGGAGGATAAGGATAAGAAGAAGGACAAGAAAAAGAATGATGAGGAGGATGAAGAGGACAAGAAGAAGGATAAGAAAAAGAAGGATGATAAGGATGATGATGAGGACGAGGAGAAGGAAAAGGATAAGAAGAAGAAGGATAAGAAGAAGGATGACGATGATGATGAGGAAGACAAAAAGAAGGATAAGAAAAAGAAGAAGGATGATAATGATGATAATGAAGATGAGGAAAAGGAGAAGGACAAAAAGAAGAAAGACAAGAAGAAGGATGACGACGACGAGGAAGCCGACAAGAAAAAGGACAAAAAGAAGAAAAATGATAAGAAGGATGATGATGAGGATGAGGAAAAGAAGGAGAAGGACAAGAAGAAGAAGGATAAGAAGAAGGACGACGACGATGACGAGGAAGACAAAAAGAAGGATAAGAAGAAGAAGGATGACAAGGATGATGATGAAGATGAGAAGAAGGACGATGATGTAGACAAGGATATGAAGAAGGACAAGAAGAAGAAGGTTGGTGTTTTTGAAGCTTAATTTTGGATAAAGCAAAAACAACAGCAGCATTTTACACATCATTTTAAATAGTTCAGTTTTTGAATTTCTTTTTAGAAAATAACTGTTTGATTTCAAAGTCCATTCTGTCTCAGAAATTCCGCTAAAGCACGAAAAAGTCGTAAATCTGCTTAAGACCCGCATGGGAACTTTTCACCAGTGGCTTTGTCATACCGTAGTCCATCAAGCTCTAACTCCGAAAAAAAGAATAATTCGGATCAAAATTTCTGGAAGTTCGGGAATCTCGAATTCCGTTCCGAACATCTCTTCATGATATCTGAAATCACATATTTTGTTAAACTCCTTTTCAATCTTAGTCTTTGAAAATTTTCAGGATGATGACGACGACAAAGAGGACGAGGATGAAAAGAAGAAGGATAAGAAGAAGAACTGATCATATTATTTGTAGATTTTTTTTCACATTCAATTTTTTTACAATTGCCATTCATGACTACTAATAAACTTCTTTAATGAAATAGAAAACCCGGAAAATAAATGAACAAACACATGGGATCATAAAGCACTTATGGAATGAAACTGAGAACTTGACTAACAGCAAAATAGGAATTATTATGAAAAAAATTTTCGAAAAAGGCTAAACACTATTTGATAACTGTCCTTCAATATAAAGCGGTGGAGCAATGATGATTCTGGATTGATCGGAATCCTTTCGATCTTTTCGTAGTCCGAGAAAAGAGAACAGTTGGTGACGGATGGCAGGATTACAGTAGGTGTAGATCAAAACTCGAATGGCAGATGAAATCATGTAAAGAAGACTGACAGCATCTCCCAGGAGAGTGTACAGGTTCGAAGCCTTGTACGGATCGTGCTCACTGAAAATGGTTGAGTATGAAAGAGAAAAGAAGGTAAGTTCAAAAATCAGTTCATCCTTTTCTTTTTTTTCTTTTAACCCATAACCCATAAAAATTTTCTAATGGGCTCCATGTGTTTTTCCCCTCCTGACGCCCGGTTTCTTATTTGTTTATGACTCTTCAAAATTTTGTTCTATTTTTTTTGTTCCGCCCTTAATTTTTTTTGACGTAATAAACTTCTTTAAAACTTCCTCACTTACTCGACTAAAATCGAAGCTTTTGTCACTTCCAGTAGAGTTAGCAAAATATGTAACGAATTTGAGATCAAGTAGGTAGTTACAATTGCCACCTGAAACAACGGATTTAAAATTTCCCTCTTTCTTTCATCCCTTACCATTGTGTAGATCGCATTCCTCACTGTAGAAGTTATTTGAATTTTTCCAATCCGTAAAGAAGATAAGATCCTTGACCTCTTTCGTTTAGTTGGACTATCCTTGATTTCTTTGGTAGGACATTGTTGAGCATCGAGCTTTGCCAATTTGTTAACGATTACCAAATTGAGAGCCATTAGGCAGAGAAAAGGACAGAACGTTTGAAGGCAGGCAATTCCATATACATCGTATACCATGTACACCGTGCTCACCTGGAATTGATTTCATTTATAGTTAAATATTTACAGAATGAAACTATTTTTCTGGATCACAGTTCTTCTACTCCTTGTCTCCGAACTTCATGCTCAAAGCGCAAACCGTCATAAAAGGTGGTCTATTGTTGTTTACGTAAGTTAGAGCTTCAAAACTCTTAAAAGGGCATTTGCATTGTTTTCAGCACGCAGAACAGGTTCTAAAAAAACAAGCCGAGTATGAAAGACGGAGGACAGAGGAAATGCAGAGACGAGTGAAAATAGTTCTGCCAGGCGTAAGATTCTTTACTTTTACTAGAGGAATCTTTAATTTTCAGGACGAGGTTCTCCCTGTCACATCGGAAAACTACTTCTACTGATTGCTCTTTGTCCAACGAACGAACCCCTATTTTCATAGTTCAGTAGAAATAAAGGGTTGCTCATGTCAAAATATTTCAATAAATTTACCTGTGCCCACTCCTCCACATCTACTGCCAGAGTTCGAAAAAAGTCGGGACACTTTCGAAACTCTGTAATTGTCAGAGCCATTGCAGATGGCACTCGAAGCAATATGGCTCCTAGAAGAAGACCTCCAAGGGTGAACGGACGGTACTTTGGTTGCAAAATAGCCATTTTATTGCTGAAAAGAGTCATATTACTTGTCTGGGGAGTTTCTGGCTTCAGATTTCTGTGAATCACTTTTTTCCTTTTCCCCCACTCATCTGACTACTCATTTTTCAATGTTTCGAATGGCACGAATTCGTTGGAAACTCACTGCTTATTATCGATCCATGTGTACCTCTCAAGTGTACCCAACATTAGTAGGTAGGGAATTAGAAATTGTACCAACTTGGCAGTGATGAAAGTGATGATAATATAGCGGTGGAATAGAAGGAAGAGGTACTGGAAATGGCATTTTTTCTAGATAGTTCGGAGGTCGTTTCTCTTACCTCACTCTTATTGTAGATCATATTGACATCAACGACGAAAATCATAAGAAAAAAGAAACAAAGGAGAGTATCTAGAAATGCCAGAATGGCTGGATAGAGTTGCGGAGGAGAATTGGCGAGTTGTCGAAATGTGAATAGGTAAAGAAGGAGAAGATTGAAAACACATCCGAGTAGCGCAATGATTCCTCCAATCGAAATATAAACAAATCGAGTAGTGGAGACTTCTTCTGTGTACCCACATATCACTTCCTCGTCTGTCATTCTGCAAGGAACAGTTTTTTCATGGTTGCAGAAAATGGAAAATCCTAAAATATTCAAAGAGAAATGAGAAACAATTGGATGGGCGAACGGATGACTAAAACCGAGATATATTCAATTCAACACGAGTCTCCATTTGATTGAATTTCAAAGAAATATTTATAGGGACGGATGAGTATTATCTTTTTTTCGGAAATACGTCATCGTTCTTTCTTCGGTTTTTCAATTGAGTAAATTGTGAAAAGAAAAAAACTATATTGGAACGTCGAGAAGGGACATATTTTCAAGTTTACTAAAAATAGAAAATGCAAAGAACTGAAATTGAATCTGAAACTGAATTTCGAAAAGTTTGCAAGGAGATAGAGAACGAGCGAACATTTTTTAGGAGTTGATTATAGGATTCAGACGACTTGAAAATTATGTACTAGAAGTTGAATTCTACAGGGAAAAAAAGAGAGACAAGATAATGACTCAACAAGTAGGAATTTCAAGAAATTGAAGCTCTTGGGAAATGCCAAAATCCATTGGAAATATCAATGTTTCGTAGTTTTTGTGCCCGACATTTGAGGTTTGTTCTTGGGAATACGGTAGTCTGAAGTGACTGGAATATTCATTCAAATGCTATAAAATGAATACGAAATGAGAAAACAAATTATTCTAGAAACTCTCCGAATTTCTAGAAAATCCAGACATCCAAGATTCCAATGAACTAATATTTGTGTAAACAATCTCGAAAAAAAATTCCCAAAGAGAGAAGATAAGATGTACCAAAAATTCCCGGAAAGAAAATATTATCAAATCTGGAAAGGACAGAACAAGGTCGAAGTGCACCAGGATATGATAATCTGAAGGAGCGAAAGAGAGAGAGAGAGAGAGAGTGTGTGTAAAAAAATGAGATGACGCGTACAAATTGATTCGAATAAAACAGAAAAAAATAGGAAATTAGAAGACGAAGAAGAAGAAGAAGGAAAACGGACGGAAGAAGAGCATGTGCAGCTCCTCAATCGACTTACTCAAGTCATAAATTGATATCCGGAGAAGGAGGAAAAAAGGGACTGAATGATGCACAATTTTCAGAGGATGGGCCGCCAAAACAACAAGATGTGGTGATTTTCTAGCCAGTCTGGACACAACTTAATTTATGGTTCTCTTTTGAGGAAGTGAGACAAAGAAAATAAAGACCTAAAAGTTGTTAAAGAAATTAAAATAAATCAGTGATTAGAAAATGACATTTTTCATCGGAAGTAGGAGAAATAAATCGAGCGAAAATCATCGGAATCCTGCAGTTGGAAAAGTGTGGGATGGTTCGGAGTTGACGAAACGTGAGATCCGCCAAGTGCTCATCGTAATTTTCGATGCTACACTCATTATGAATTCGCGCGACACTCTTAAAGTGATACAACAAATGAGAAGATAGCAGAAAATAAGTTTTGATGATGTCTCATGAAAAACACTTTTTTGGAAGAGAAGGAGATGATTTTAAAAGGACATTTTGAAAAGATCAATCAGTTCAATTAGACATAAACCATCGTGGGAACTTTTAAAGCTGTTTTGTTCTATAGAGAAAATTTTTGAAGATCTAGAAGAGACGGGGCACTTATTCTGTTTACCACCCTCGGAATATGAGAAAATTGTTTTTTGGGTTTGCCATGAAAAATGAACTTCTTATGCATACTTTCCAGTTTTCTAAAACAAAACAATTAAAAGGCTCTGACCAAAATGTTTTATTGCATAAAATTTTCCAAAAGTTATGTATTTTTATAATGTTATTGTGAAAAAAATATCGAATTCCCCGGAAAATGCCGTCGAAAGTGAACATTTTACTATATAGGTTGCGACTAGGGACGAGGATTTGTATTCCCGAGCAGTGAGAAACCTAGGCCACGGCGGCGGGACGGCTTTTCTGAGTGGCCGACAGTGGTTTGAAATCGTAGGTAAATGCGGGAAAATCCAGAAAAATTGCCATGTAAAAAGTTTCTCGCAGCGCGGGAACTCAAATCCTATTTTTTCAATAGCATTTTCAAGAGATCTCAGTTTTTACATTTAATAATATTAGGAAAATAGATAACTTTCGATCATTTTAATGCAATAAACAATTTTGGTCAGAGTCTCCTTTTGAGTGAGAACGTGAAAAAACGGAAAAGGCTTTTAGTCTGACCTAGTTTGATTATAGTTTGGCCTAATAATTTTTAACATTGTTATCCGAAATCATTCATGAACTAAACAAGTTTCAAAACTGAATATTATTCTCGCATCATTTTTGAAACCGGAATGTTCATTTCATTCTGAGAACTAGAGCCTACTTCTTCTATTACTTGATGGGCATCAGATTGCAGTATAGACGACATCAGGGGGCGGAGAAAAAAGTGAGGGTGGATCTTAAATATTTTCTATTGCTCGCTGCCAAAAATAAGTTAGAATATGACCCGAATAAGATAAATGAAGTCATCGAACAACTCAAAAATAATTACTGAGTCAAGAGATATGGGAGGATATCCCGAAAGAATCGAGTAAGTTTTGAACTTTGCTCGACTAACTGAAATGTTTGTTTTTCAGACGGAAACCTACTTCTAGGAACCATGAAATTCTTTGTATATAAAGTTGAAGAGTTTGTTTTGACATTTTCAAACTCAAAGCTCCGGGTTTATGAAATCCCACAACTTCAGAGAGTCTTGAAATTTAATGTGTTTTTTTCTCACAAAAACATTTTGACACCCATTTTCAGAGAGCACAAAAGTTCGGGTAGACCTAAAGAGTGGCTCTGTGTGGGAGAAAACTGAATTATTACGGGAGATTTCATTATGAGAATTGAGAATTCATGGAACTTTGAAAGGTACAAGAACCAAGGTACTTGATCATTTATGTTTTGTCGTTTAGAATCAAAACTTTAGATAATTGGATTCAAGAGCTATAAACTCCAGAAATCAAGCACAAAGGACGATCGGTGGTTTGGACTCGAGTCTACCACCCACTAGAATTAGACTAATTACAGAAAGAATACGGAAGAGGAACCTACATATATCCTTGTCCATATCCTTTCTTATCCCTCCAATAATAGAAAGTATAATTACAAGAAAAAAAGGTTTGAGTACAAACTGAACTGTGTTGTTTAGCGATTCATTGTTCTTTAAGCGGAACGTCTAGCCGCGGAGGTCTTGAAATAGATTTTGTTTTTGAAGATGTTATGCCGCGTTCAAAGTTGATTTCCAGGAGTAATTTCCTGGAAAAACGCTGTCCAAAGCTGCCATTGTTTTCCAGAGGCCTCCGCTTCGAGACCCGCCGTAAATCGACATGAATCAACAGAGAGAACACAGCCAAAACGAGTGATACAGTAGTTTAG